CTTGTACCCCAATGTTTATAGCAGCACTCTCAACAATAGCCAAATTATGGAAAGAGCCTAAATGTCCATCAACTGATGAATGGATAAAGAAATTGTGGTTTATATACACAATGGAGTACTACGTGGCAATGAGAGAGAATGAAATATGGCCCTTTGTAGCAACGTGGATGGAACTGGAGAGTGTGATGCTAAGTGAAATAAGCCATACAGAGAAAGACAGATACCATATGTTTTCACTGTTATGTGGATCCTGAGAAACTTAACAGAAACCCATGGGGGAGGGGAAGGAAGAAAAAAAAAAGAGGTTAGAGTGGGAGAGAGCCAAAGCCTAAGAGACTCTTAAAAACTGAGAACAAACTGAGGGTTGATGAGGGGTGGGAGGGAGGGGAGGGTGGGTGATGGGTATTGAGGAGGACACCTTTTGGGATGAGCACTGGGTGTTGTATGGAAACCATTTTGACAATAAATTTCATATATTGAAAAAAAAATAAAAACATAAAAATACTGCTTTGGCTATTTAATTTTATTTTAAGTAAATAAAAAATCAAAATTATCCATAGAAAAAAGACATTGAACTGAATGAAAATAAAACTGAATGAAAATTTAAAAAACAGTGAATCAAAATTTGTAGAAGGCAAATAAAGCAGGGATGAAAGAAAAATTTATAGCACTAAGTGCACATATTAGAAAAGAGGAAAATTCTCAAATTATTAATCTAACATCCCACCACAGGACCTAGAAAAGAAAGCCAAAATAATGCAAAACAAGCAGAAGAAAGAAAAAATCAAGAACAGAAATCAATGAAATTGAAAACATTAAAACAATACGAAAAAAATCCCCAAGATAAAGAGCTGGTTCTTTGGGAAGATCGATAAAATTGACAAACCTATAGAAAGACCACCACCGGGGCGCCTGGGTGGCGCAGTCGGTTACGCGTCCGACTTCAGCCAGGTCACGATCTCGCGGTCCGTGAGTTTGAGCCCCGCGTCAGGCTCTGGGCTGATGGCTCAGAGCCTGGAGCCTGTTTCCGATTCTGTGTCTCCCTCTCTCTCTGCCCCTCCCCCGTTCATGCTCTGTCTCTCTCTGTCCCAAAAATAAAATTAAACACTGAAAAAAAAAAAAAAAAAGACTTATAGTATAGATACAATAATAAAGACAATGTGGTATTAGCAGAAACTGACCCTTGGATCAATGGAACAAAGGAAAGAAACAGAACTAGATTCACATAAACCTGTCCAGCTGATTTCTGAGGTACAAAACAAATTCAGTGGAGGAAAGACAGCTTTTTCAACAAATGATGCTGGAGCAATTGGGCACTACAGTCAAACAAAATAAAAAATCGACTACCTAAGGCTTGTGCCTTATAACTCAATATTTTAATCATATATGATCACAATCATATAACACAAATTAGTTCAAAATGGACTGCATAACATAAAACTATAAAACTTTCAGAAAAAAAACAAATGAAAAATTTAGGGGATTTAGAGCTAGGCAAAGAGATCTTAGAGTTGATACCAAAAGTATGATTCATAAGAGAAATTTGATAAATTAGACCTCATCAAGTAAAAATCTCTTGCTCTGCAAAAGACTTTGTTAAGAAGATGAAAAGACAACCTACCCACCAGGAGAAAATCCTTGCAAGTCACTTATGTCACTAAGTATTAATACACACACACACACACACACACACACACACACACACACGCACGCATTCAATAGTAAAAACTTCCACATAATCTAACTGGAAAACAGACTAAAGATGTAAACAGACATTCCACTAAAGTAATTATATGGATGGTCAATAAACACACAAGAAGTCAGTGGTCCCAAGCAAGTTCAAAACCCAGTGGAGCAAATTCCATTAGTTTTCAAAGCCTAGGAGTAATCTCCTGTGTCCTGAGACTCTACCCTCCAGGTTGTGTCTCTGCCCTCTATGTCTATGGCTACAGTCATTCTTCCTTTTACTTGAAGGGTAGCACATGTTTACAGTTGATTATCAGCCCATTTCCTCCCTGTAGAATTTTGGAAATCTGATAGCCTTCTGTTATTTCATTCTGTCTCTGTTCTTTTCAGTCCAAGCCAGCAGTGTTTCTGCTGGTATCACATTTGTAAAGACCTTGTGGGTCTCCTCTGTTTGTCATAGAGATCCACACAATTAGACAAGAGGGTCCTCCATGCATCACTGTTGGGCAACCATTTCCATTTGTTTCTACTGAGATGATTGATTGGATCCATGAGTCACATACTTAATCTCTTCAACTAAAATTGTCCAAGCACTCTCCAGAGCAAGCTTTCTCCAGTGGACTCCTAATTTCAACATCCTTTGCAGTTTGCATAGGCTGAGAATTCCCCCAAATAATCAGACTTTGATTCCTTTTTGCATAATAGTTCCTTCCTAAATTTCTCTTTCCTTTTATATTTTATAATAAGCAGCAAGAAAACACCAGGCCCCACCTTCAACATTTCCCTTGGAAATTTCCTCAGCCAAGTATTCAAATTCATCACCTACAAGTTTGCTTTTCACACAACTATAAACCACAATTCAGTCACGTTTTTGGCCACTATGTAAGAATGATCTTTCCACCAGTTTCCAATATTAACATTTCTTTTGAGCCCTTACCAGAAGTACCATTATATGTTAATATTTCTAATAATATTCTGTTCATGACACAGGTATCCCCAAAGAAAATAGCTTTCTCAATCCTGCTATTTCCTGAGCCTGCACCTTACCATCCCTAACAATGTTTAAGGTAATCTAGGCTTTTCTATCATATGGCTTAAAATTCCTCCAGCCTCTACCCATTATCCAAACCCACTTCCACATTTTTAGGTGTTTGTCTTAGCAGAGCCCCATTCCCTGGTACCAAAATTTGTTAGTTTTCTGTGGCTGCCATAAAAATCACCATAAATCTGGTGGTTAAAACAACAACAAAAATACAATATATTTATAAAGTGGCACATTTATAAAATTAAATTTAGCGGATATGATTTCAAATGGAAGTTAAAAATTATAAATTTAAAAACAGAAATATCATACATAAAATGGCATCTGCCATTACTTTGAATTTTTGCAGAGACACTTCAGGTAGGGTAACTTTTTACAGCCAAACATTTGCATAATATCTTTTTTGCCCCTTCCCTCTTCAGCTGAGATATATTATATCCCAGAGATCTGCATGAGGAGGGATTAATATAGGATTGGGAATAAGGAAAGTTTAAAATGTGACATATAGATTTAGGATATTTGCTGTTTGTCCTCGGATGCCAAAGGAGTCTGGGACTGGCCTACTCATTTAAAAAAATGTCATTACAATGAATACAGTAGCAATGTATCTCTTCTAGTAACACCCCATTCCATCCCCCCCCTATAAGTGACATATATTCTGGTGGGTATAGTAACTATGATAGGAGTAGAAATTGGGGAGATCTTGGGAAATAGCTAAGAGCATAAATATGTAGAGATTCTCAAGGATTGCTATCCAAATACTTTTATGACTTGTTTATATAACCTCCTATACTGGAAGTTCTTTTAGGTAAGAAAACAGCCTAATCATCTGTGAGTTCATAATTGTATTTTTAAGCTTAGCCATTTAAAACACTGTGTTAGTACACCAGAATTTCTAGTATATCATACACAAGACCTATAAAACATGAATATTATGTACTATGTATAAAAATAAACTAAGAATATGCATAAAATGCTCTACTGCAAATAAAACATGGCTATTTCATAATATAATCAGTAAATCAAGAGGCAGGATAGCACATGTAGGGATGCCAGATAAATTATATTTTTGTGACAGCCACAGAAATACATATGAGAGACGAAACAAAGGAGAGTAGAATATCCAAGAAAAAGTGACTCACAGTCCCAACATCTTTGGTTGGTTGAGGTTAGAACAGATTCAGTTATACCACACCTCCCCAATCATTAAATATCCAGGAAAAAGGGTAGATTTGCATCCTCCATCTTGAGTATAATTCTTGTTAGTTGCCATTGTTAACATATAATAAATAGTATTAATTCATATACAAATATAGATTTATTCAAATTAAACTATTACCAGGTTCTCATGGTTATGAATATAGACCCTGTAATCTTACCTACTTATTTTTAGTACGTTCATCCTGCCCTCCAAAAAAAATACAAAACGAAACAAACAAATCCTCTAAATGTAAATAGTTACTAGTAAAGGCTAAATTTCACAAAGTTTTGTCTGGTCAGACAAGGCACTATAATTTTTAGACCCTTTGAAGTCTAAATATTTGTCATGTCTGAATTTCCTCATTACCCACTGTCGTTTTTTTTCTCTCTCAAATTATCTACAAGCCCTGGACAAGCAGGTTTCCATTTACTGTCCACTGGCAATTGCTGTCCCTTTCTGTAAGGCAGAGGGCCCAAATTGGAGGCGGGGGGTAAGCTTATTTAAATTTTAAATGCATTTTATTACACACAGTAACAATATATGTAGTAAACATATGTTACAAATAATCAAGGGCCTTCAGTAAAACTGTTCAAGGTGCTGTTGACCTTACTATTTTCATAGAAAAGATGCTATAGACATTACTGTTTTAGCAGATTTCCAATTCTAAAACATCAATAACTCTCCAGTGATTTTTCCATTGGGAATTGAGACCTCACACTTCCTGAGATAAATATATAAAAGGCTTAGTTGTGTGTGTGTGTGTGTGTGTGTGTGTGTGTGTTATTTCACAATTCTGTCTACTGTGACTTATATTCCCAAGTTTTACTCATCTTTGTCATTTCTTAACCTCCCTTTCTCTAGTATGAATTCTATGGTGTTAAATAAGGTGTATGCTATGGCTAAAAGTATTCCTATAATCATGACAACTATAGGATTCGTTCCGATATGAATTCTCTAGCTTTGTGTAATTTAAGCCATAGCGAGTCTTTCTAGATTTGTTACATTCAGATATTCATGACTGACAGTCTTCTTACAATTACAATATTATATAGATTTTTTAAAAGTAAAATTCTCTAGCTGAATGACTGCTAAAGACCTTTCTCCACATTGCTTACAATCAGAGCTGTTACTTTCCAAAGTTAATCACCTCATATTAAGAAAGGTCTGAGAGGGGCGCCTGGGTGGCGCAGTCGGTTAAGCGTCCGACTTCAGCCAGGTCACGATCTCACGGTCCGTGAGTTCGAGCCCCGCGTCAGGCTCTGGGCTGATGGCTCGGAGCCTGGAGCCTGTTTCCGATTCTGTGTC